ATTCGCAGCACGTAAGCTTCCCTTTTCACACTCCGGAAGACTGCCGTCCGACCGGCGAAGTGGAGCATGCTCGAGAAGGAGCCGATGGAGGCAGGACGAGAAATTGACTTGTTGCTGCAAACATTCAAGGTTGGTACTCGAGTAGTGAAATGCGTATTACGCAAATCATGTTTATATATGAAGGAATCTTCTTAAGTCGTCAGGCGTAGATCGCAACGATCATGTCATTCTTGATAAGGCTCCGCTGGACGCCCCGTAGATCGGAAGTTTGCAAGGTGGCAATAGACTGATCAACATGGCAGCTCGCCGAAATTAACCACGTTGCGGTGCTCCAACATACTTAAGGAGATACTGCGTGGAGGGCCTTGGCACACTGCATCCCGATGCCAGGTCTTGGCGCCATGGGAACAGTGGCTTTGACGGGCCACGATGCCGTATTGTGACACCTAACAAATTGCCGCGACTCAACAACATGACATGGCATGTGGTGTTCGCCCAGCAGCTTACGTGCGGCCACTTTGATTCCGCACCAGTGCCAGCCAAAAGTGGCTCGGGAGGTCTTTCTCTCTCCCAGCTTATTGTTTTACCCAGCCAGTGACAGAAGGCCGGAAACTCGAATCGGGACTGGGCAATGCTCGGCTATCTGAAGGATCCGGACCGTATGGTACCATGTTTGGCTCCGGGCCTGAAGAGGCAATATCAGTAGACGATATCAAAAGTCTGTTCCATCACATTGACGTGTGTTCACTCGAGAGAATACGCATAAGTAAGGTCCTGGCCATCATTTGCTCAAAGCGAGTGGTCCTGTACTCCAGTCGTCACACCAACTTCAGTCACTCACCCAGCATAAGTGATCAAGATGCGCTCAGTCGCCATTCTGACGGCGCTGTCTTTGGGGGGCGTCCTCGCGTCTCCGGCTTTGTCTCGCCCTGCCGCTCGTGACACCTCGGACAACCCGTTCGAAGGCCGCAAGCTCTTCATCAGCCGCGCCTACGCGGCGCAGCTCGAGCAGACGTTCGACACCTTCATCGAGGCCAATGACACCGAAAATGCGCTGAAAGTACGCTACGTCCAGGACAACGGCGGCACATTTGTCTGGGCACCCAGCATCAGCGGGCTCGGTGCACTCGACGTGGCCATCTCGGCAGCCCGCGCAGAGCAGAACCAGGGTGGCGTCGAGCAGATTGTCGGCCTCGTCCTGTACAACCTGCCAAATCGCGACTGTAGTGCTGGCGAGAGCGCCGGTGAGTTGACGGGACAAGACGGTCTTCGGCGCTACAGAGACGAGTATGTCAACGCATGGGCCGAAAGGCTGAGCCGTGCCTCGGACTTGACCTTTGCCGTCGTCATCGAGCCTGACGCGATCGGCAACATGGTGACGAACCAAGGCATCGAGGCCTGTGCCGTCGCCAAGCCCATCCAGGAAGAGGGCATCGCCTATGCTCTGAAGACGCTCCAGCTGCCCAATGTCAACCTCTACCTTGACGTCTCCCACGGTGGGTGGCTTGGCTGGCCCGATAATCTGGTCCTCAGTAAGTGACGCTTGTCTCTTGTCCGAGCTCCCACAGGCTGACTTGGCGGATAGCGGCCAAACAAGTCGCCAAGATTGTCCGCCTCGCAGGCAGCGGCACCAAGATCCGCGGTTACACGACCAACGTCTCCAACTACAACCCGTTCCACGCCGAGGTCCGCGAGGACTACACGGAGTGAGCCCGTCGTGGACGAGAACAACTACTCGCGATCGCTGGCGCCTCTGCTCGCGAGAGGGTCTGCCGACACTTTATCATCGACCAGAGCCGCGTGCACCTCCCGGGGGCGCGGGAGGAGTGGGGTGAGTGGTGCAACGTGTGGCCTTCGGGTCTGGGCCCGACACCAACGTCGGACGTCGATAGCCCTTATGTCGACAGCCTCGTCTGGGTCAAGCCACCGGGCGAGAGTGACGGCCAGTGCGGCAAGCCGGGGGCGCCTCGTGCTGGAGCCTTCTTTAACGAGTACATGCGCATGTTAATCGAGAATGCGCACCCTGATGTCGTGCCGGCGGATTCGCTCGAGAGGCCGACGCAGCCGTGGTGGTAGGTAGGGCCTGGGCAGTTGACAGAATGAAACAGAGGAAACCTTGATAGAGAGCCGAAATTGGAATAGACACGCAGCGTAGTACTGAGTAAGGTCGATAGGCAGACTCGAGAGAAACAGAGAGATGAGGCCATCAAGGTGACCTGCTCTTATCAGTGACTGCCTCGTACACTTATCGCCGTACGACCCTAAGCCTCGGTGAGTCAGCAGATCGAGGCTCTCTCATTGGGCTGCTGCCTCGGCAAATGCCAAATGGCGCAGGACCTAACCAATTGCATCATCCCGCGGCCGAAGCTCGACAAAGCTCCGCAGCCGTCTCGAGCTCCCTAAGTCACGACATGCCTCTTGCCTCTGTTTCTGCTTCATATACCCTCTGGATCCCCACGCTGCAAGCCCTGAACGTCAATCCTACAGACGCAATACACCGACTTCGTTCAACAGATCCTCACCGAATCGCCACCTCCCTCATCGCTGCCCAAGACCCCTCCCGAAGACCGAGCAATCCCCCCACCATCGCGCCCGGCTGCCCGACGAAGGACCCCTCCACAACAGCTTGCTGCTGCAAGATGATAGCTCTGTCGAGCGAACGGCGACGATGATTCCGCGCCTGCTATGCACAGCCTCGAAGAGGTCATACGCACAAAAACTGAACCATACGAAACGGCCTATAGCCTCACCATGGCTCCTGCGAAGCACCGTCTCGGCAGTCCGTGTGTTCCAAATCCAGCGCACCTCTGCACCGCGAAGAAACCAAAAGTTGCGCATGGAGCGCTGAATGCTGCGCCTGCGCTGAAAACCGACAAGGGGACCATACCGCTGAAGGCCCCAAAGCCTGCTTCGCCTGATCCTATGGCTGCCGTGGACAAATCGGCTCAGGAACAGCGCAAGGCTGACTGGGCCATCATGAAGGAGATGTCGCGATACCTATGGCCGAAAGACAGTTTCAGCACGAAACTCCGCGTCGGCGTGGCCGTAGCGTTGCTGGTCGGCGCCAAGGTGCTGAACGTCCAAGTGCCGTTCTACTTCAAGAGCATTGTCGATGCCATGAATGTTGATGTGGGAGCCATGGGCGGGACGGCCGTCACAATTGCGGGGAGCATGATTCTCGCCTATGGCGCGACGAGGATAGGGGCCACAGTATTCCAGGAGTTGCGAAACGCCATCTTCGCCACCGTTGCCCAGAAGGCCATCCGCAAAGTCGCCTGCAACGTCTTTGATCACTTGCTGCGCCTTGACCTCAGCTTTCACCTCTCCAAACAGACTGGTGGCTTGACTCGAGCCATTGACCGCGGTACCAAAGGAATCAGCTTCCTTCTGACGAGCATGCTGTTCCACATCCTCCCCATTGGTCTCGAGATCTCCATGGTCTGCGGCATCTTGACGTGGCAATATGGCGCCCAGTTTGCTGCCATCACGGCCACCACCATGCTCGCTTACACGGCCTTCACTGTGTGGACGACGGCGTGGCGCACCAAGTTCCGCAGGCAAGCCAATGCCGCCGACAACAAGGCTTCGACTGTTGCGGTCGACTCGCTCATCAACTACGAGGCAGTCAAGTACTTCAACAATGAGCAGTACGAGGTTGCGAGATACAACGCTGCCCTCACAGCATACGAGAAGAGCTCCATCAAGGTCGCCACGTCGTTGGCGTTTCTCAACAGCGGCCAGAACATCATCTTCTCGTCGGCGCTGACTGCCATGATGTATCTGGCGGCGAACGGTGTTGCCGCAGGCACCCTGACGGTCGGTGACCTCGTCATGGTCAACCAGCTTGTCTTCCAGCTGTCGGTGCCTCTGAACTTTCTCGGTTCCGTGTACCGCGAGCTGAGACAATCGCTTCTGGACATGGAGACTCTCTTCAACCTGCAAAAGGTCAACGTGTCCGTCAAGGAGCAGCCCGACGCCAAGCCTCTGCTGCTGGCCAAGGGTGGCGAGATCAAATTCGACAACGTCACGTTTGGCTACCACCCCGAGAGACCGATCTTGAGAAATCTCTCTGTCACTATCCCCGCCGGAAAAAAGGTAGCCGTCGTTGGCCCCAGTGGTTGTGGCAAGTCTACTCTCCTTCGCCTGCTCTTCCGCTCCTATGACGCTCAGTCAGGCCGCATCACCATCGATGACCAGGACATCAAGTCGGTCACTCTCGACTCTCTCCGACGCTCCATCGGCGTGGTCCCCCAAGATACGCCCCTCTTCAACGACACCATCGAGCACAATATTCGCTACGGCGACATGTCGGCGTCCCGCGAACTCGTGGAGGCAGCCGCCCAGCGCGCGCGCATTCACGAGATCATTGAGAAGTTTCCCGACGGCTATCAGACCAAGGTCGGTGAGCGCGGACTCATGATCTCGGGCGGCGAGAAACAGCGTCTCGCCGTGAGCAGGCTGCTCCTCAAGGACCCGCCGCTGCTCTTCTTCGACGAGGCCACGAGCGCCCTCGACACGCATACGGAGCAGGCGCTCATGGCGAACATCAACAGCATCCTCCGGGAGAAGTCGAGGACTAGCGTCTTCGTCGCGCACAGGCTCAGGACCATCTTTGACGCCGACATGATCATCGTGCTGAAGGAGGGCAGCGTGGCCGAAGTGGGAACGCACAGGGAGCTGATTGACCGGGGTGGCCTTTATGCCGAGCTGTGGAGTGGTGAGTCCCGTCTTTGAACCTCTCGGAGTGCCTGTTTTGCTAATGATCTTTGCAGCCCAGGAGACTCTTTTCAATTCCGATGGAACTAGTGCTGTGGAGAGCGAAGAGCTGGACCAAGGACGCTCTGTTCTGCGCGAGAAGAAGTAAATAAAGCAGGTTTTCGTTCCTTGACTGATCATTTCCACGTCTGGGCTTCTGCCCATTTGCAATTAGTTTGACGCAGAATCGCGCACGCATTCGTCTTCATACCCCACGCTCAAGCCAAAGGTTACTTTGGTTCTATCAACATCGCCAGGATTGAGTTTTGCGGTAAGGGCCTTATTTACTCCAAGTCGACCATAGCTCCGGCTGGTGCGAAATCTTTTTGCATTGCGTTGTTTCTTATTTTTGGCAAGCGCCATCAAGTTGAACCACTATCGACCATGTCTCTCGTGTAGACGGCTACAATTTGTGGAGGCATGCTTCTCATCTACAGCGCTCTTCCGTGGCAGGCCTCCCCCGCTTTCAGACTCGAGTCTACTTGTTCATAAAGCATATCCTTTCTCAAGCGACATTGATGTTCTTACCCCTGAGTTCCCTCTTGTGGAGGAACCGGATAATAAACGCCGTCCCAATGAGACAGACAGAAATCCCGACCATGGTCGAATAACCTTTGGGGTACCTCGGCGCCTCTACCTGCTGCCAGATGAGCAGAGGAAGCCAAGCCTGCACGACATAGGCCATCTCATTCATGGTCGCCGTCACCAGGGCGCGTTCCTCGTTGTCGTCCTTGCAAATCTCGTGCGCCCAGGCAAAGGTCAGGCCACTGATGCCGCCCGCAAAGCCCACTAGGAAGAAACTCGCCCACTTTAGGCCGACGGGGATGCTCCAGACGGTCAGACTGACGTTGGCGAAAATGTTGACGACACCCGAGAAGACAATCGCAGGCCACCTGGCCCCCTTGAAGACGCTGTCGCTCGTCCACGCGTAGATCAGGGTTGTGACGACGGTGATGGCCGCCGTGATGGTCGGGAACGTATTGATCTGCGCGACGCTGTACCCTTCCTCCTTGAGCCACAGCTGAAAGGCGGGCTGCGCCCCGGTCCCGCAGCCGTTGTTGAAGAAGATGTACAGGGCGGTGAGCCAGTAGATGTGCCAGCTCGTGAAGATCTTCTTGACCTTCTTCTTGGTGAAGGGGGCCCTGTTGGCGCGGCCCTCGAGCTGCATGCGCTTCTGGGCCATGGCGATATCGTCCTTGGTGAAATACCACGCGCGCGTGATCTCGGGCAGGTCGGGGAACAGGAAGAAACCGGCCATGGCGATCGGCAGGGAGATGACCGTGTTGATGATGAAGAGCCACTGCCACCCGTGATAGCCGTGCACGCCGTCCAAGTGGTAGACCGCTGCCATGAGGTAGCCGGAGAACATGGTACCGATGGCGCCGCTGACGTGGAAGATGCAGCTGCGCTTGGCGAGCTCGTCGGAGCGGTACCAGCTGCCGATAATGTACTGCATACCCGGGTAGAACGTGGACTCGGCCAGGCCGATGAAGAAGCGGAGGGCGTAGATTTGCTTTGCGTTTGTGCACTTGGCCAGAAGGATAGTCAAGACAGACCAGGTCACTTCGCAGGCGGGGATCCACAGGGAAGGGCGGACCTTGGTGAGGAGCAGGTTGCTTTCAAGACCAGTTAGTACACGTTTGTTGTGGATATCAGAGAACAGAGCACCTCAGACATACCTTGGAATCTCGCCAATGACGTATCCCACGGTCCAAAAGGTTTGCATGTAGTTGAGCTCGTTTCCATAAAGGCCCAAGTCTTCCCGCATGCCAGAGACGAAGGCGTTGTTGATATTGATTTGATCAAGGTACTTGATGAAATATCCGAGTGAGGCCATGGTAAGCAACACAGCATCGAGTTTGAAGAGGAACTTGCGCTCTTCGGGCGATTTGTCGAGCGTGTCCCAGACATAGGACTTCCATGTTTTCTTAGGCTTCTGCTGGATGATGGATGAATCTCCAGTATCCGTCGGAGAAGGTATGCCATCGGTCGACACCACAGAAGAGGCGGCGACCTTCTGGTCCGATGGGACGTCAGCGTCCGAGGACGAACGGTCTTTTCCCACATTGGCGCTCATGCTGGGCGATCTCGAGTGCTACGAAGAAGTCAGAGGACGTGGTGAGCCGGCCTGAACCTGCAGCCCGAGCCTGACTTCTTCCCTCTTTATGACCACTACTGAAGATCATACTACGTTATGCTAAAGCCCTGCCATGCCGACCGACTTCCGATGGCGGACCACTCCCGCATGGTTAATCGAAGCTCACGGCGGATCGGGCCCGCGCCGACTACCGAATTGACCATGGTATCATCAAGCTGTCGGGCAACACCTGCAGGCATGGCAAGTCAGATCTGGCACATGGAGCTGTCAAATCGGCGTGCAAGACAGTCCATTGGATGAACGCCGACACAGTCGCCGCCACGCTACTCCACGGTTTCTCCGATCCGTCATGTTCCGCCGCCGATGATCTGCGCCAACAGGTGCTTGTAAGTGTATGGCGCGAGCGGCTATGCGCCAATGACGGTCACGAACGACGATGCAGTGAAAGAAGGCGCCATATGTGCTGCATATGGGGTAAGAAAATGTCCCACGCTGATTTATCATCGGCTTCCTCTTCTCCGTCTTCTGCGTTATGTGCGCCACCGGTCCGGGCCGGTTGTTGACTCCTTGGCCAATGCCTGATCTCTTGATCGAGCGAACGCCATATTTGGTGCGTATGGGGTCATCGATAAGGAAGACGTACGAGTCGTGCGGGGAGCGTCGGACGGGGCATCGACACATGGCGTTCAGCAACGCTCAATCACGAAGGTCGCATATGCTCACGAGTTACGAGATTCGCTGCTTCACAAATGTCGGTCGATAAAGACCCACGTCTTGAACCTACCCTGGACTGAATCAAGACACAAACCCCAGCATCTCTATCTGGTTCAAACAACACGCAATCCACCATGGCCCCATCTGCAATTGACCCGTCCATCACTGATACAGCCGAGCCGATCAAGGACACACTCGGTCTCCCTGAAACAACAGTGCAGCGTTTGACTAAGGCCAAGATTGACCTGTCTGGCGGCTATCCGTATCGTCCATTGAAGCCACTCTACCTTCAAGACGTGTACAAGATTCGTTCGGAAGAGTATCCCTACGTCGATGCAGGCATTCGCGCCGACAAGTCTAAGAAAAATCTCCTCTCCGCCGCCGCTAAGGTGACAGACTTGACGACTCACATTGGAACCGAGATTGAAGGCATTCAGCTGAAGGACCTGACTAATGTTCAGCGAGACGAGTTGGCACTCTTGATTGCAGAACGTAGCGTGGTCTTTTTCCGGGACCAAGACATCACTCCACAGCAACAGAAGGAGCTAGGCGAGCACTTTGGCCAGGTAGAAGTTCATGTTAGTCCGATCTGGACCTCGAAAAGACTTTTCAGACCGACTGACCACACCGTGTAGCCTCAAGTACCCCAGGTCCCGGGCGTAGAAGGTGTGACAGTCATCTGGCCCGACCTGCAGGCTACGGAGTTCCCGGCATCATTCCGCAGGCCCGGCGGTGCGTCGAGATGGCACTCTGACCTGGTTCACGAGCTCCAGCCAGCAGGCATCACCCATTTGCACAACGACACCGTCCCTCCGACGGGCGGTGACACGCTCTGGGCCTCGGGCTACAGTGCCTACGAGAAGCTCTCGCCCGAATTCCGTAAGATCATTGATGGCAGGAAGGCAGTATATCGATCCGCCCATCCATATCTCGATCGTGACAAGCCGAACGCCGGCCCCAAGCACGTCGAGCGCACGCATCCACTGGTGCGAGTGCATCCGGCGACAGGATGGAAGGCGCTCTGGGTCAACAGAGCCATGACAGACCGCATCGTCGGCCTCGACAGGGCCGAGAGCGATGTAATTCTTAACTACCTCTACGATGTGTACGAGAAGAACGTCGACATTCAGCTCAGGTTCAAGTGGACGCCGGGCACCAGCGCGCTGTGGGACAACAGGTTGGTTGCATGGGCCCTTTACGATGCAGCTCAGTCTACTGACAAGATGATGACAGGATCACGATCCACAATGCCAGCTGGGACTATGCGGGCAAGCACCCGCGTCACGGCACGCGAGTGACCTCGCTGGCTGAGGTGCCGTACTTCGACGCCAGTGCTCCCACAAGACGCCAGGCTTTGGGCCTGCTGGACGATGAAGAGAAGAAGGAGCTTAGCATCTGAGGCTGTGAGAATTTTCAGGTCGCGAATGATCCTATCGCGTCATCGGTTAGCGAGCGCAGCCCATGACTTTTTCTTTTTTTTACAACTTCACGTAGCCGCAGTGGAAGGCTTACGGCCAACACATGTAAACGACTTGGAGGAGGAGGGATGCTGCTTACGACGCGTCAGCCAATGCGAGAATCGAGATTCGCGATCCGCAAACCAAGATGAGTCCAGAAAGGGTACCCGAGCAGCCGAAGGGCAAATAAACTCTCTCTTTGGTTGTCCCCTTTCTCGAACAATTGATACAATTGAAGTATGTACATCATACGATTGCTACACTCTGATCTCCCGTGAGATTGCTCGGGCTTGGCTTGTGGGCTTATCCTTTCGCTGATGTCCAAAATAGGTCGCCGCTTGTTGTGTTGGCATATCGAGGCAGAGCGATCCTGGCTCTGGAGACCCCACTGCCCGTTCGGATGGCCACTGAAGCCGGCCATCATCCCAGCATCATCAGTGGGCGCAGGCTATCGTGCACAACACAACACAACACAGCACACAGCGAAGAAGACATGGGTGGCATGACAGTCTGCCGGGTCGCACGACAAGGTCAGCCCTACCGCGACCATCAAGCCCCAGCCCCAGCGATGGGCCGGAGCTTGAGCGGCCGATGCTGGGCGCCAATGATGACGGAGCGAAACCGTAAGCAGAAGATGAGAACATGACTGTTGTCCTCCTTCTGCAGCCCAGTCACCGCCTCGACCATAGCCAGCAATGGTCTAGCGTCTGCTAGCAAATGACTGAAGGCAGCCAATCCCGGGGACTGTTGGCCAGCTAGCTCGACCATTTCGGCAAGGCGTTCACTCCTTCGCGAGGAGAAGGCAGAGTGATGACTTCTGGGCTGTGCTGCTGATGGGTGTGCTATTGATAGCACCTGGCATGTGCTGTTGTGGAGATGTCCCAACGGCTTGGGTGAGCCGCAATGTTTGTCGGCCGCGAGAGGCTGACTTGAAGGATGCAGATAATTTCACGACGATATTGAAATGTCGATGTTTTCGAGTATATAGAACAACAAGTGTTAGCTACAAATGCGTTTCTGTTTCTTACATCTCCAGCATCAGCATCATCCCCAGCATTCTCAGCGTCGTCGCCTTCAAAGCATCCAGCATCCAGCATTCAACTCATTATTTGCAGCCATTTTCCTTTCACTCCATCCAATACCAGACTCCCTCCCAAGCACAATGCATTCATCAGCACTCCTCTCCTCCATTCTCCTCAGCGCCGTGGCCTTGGCTGCGCCGTCTGCACCCAGGAGCGACGACTCCTCCATCGACAGCGTGCTGCCGCCCGTCGTCCCCGTCAACACGCGCGCCGCCGACCCAGAGCTCATCACCAAGCTCATGACGGCCCCAACCCAGCGCCAGCGCGCCAACCTACTCGACCAGCCCGGCGACTTTGTCTTTGACTTCACCGATCTCTCGGTCCCCGGGTCCGAGTCCAAGGGAAAGGGCGGCTTCTCCACCTCAGCCACAGCCCGGACCTTCCCGGCCCTCATCGGCAACGGCGCCGGCATGACGCTCGGCTTCCTCGGCCCCTGCGGCATGAACACAGCCCACGTGCACCCGCGCGCCACCGAGCTCAACGTCGTCGTCAAGGGCCGCCTCGTGACCAACTTTGTCATCGAGAACGGCGTCGAGCCCATCGAGAACACAATGTCGCTCTACCAGATGAGCGTGTTTCCCAAGGGCGCGATTCATCAAGAATACAACCCTGGTAAGTCCATTTAACCAACCCCCCCTATCACCGCACTGCAAAGTGCTGACACGTCTCTCGTCGCAGATTGTGAAGACTCCGTCTTCGTCGCCGGCTTCAACGACCCCGACCCCGGCGTCGAGCAGGTCGCCCAGGCCTTCTTCAGCCTCAACCCCGAGGTCGTCTCGGCCACGCTCGGCGGTGTCACGACTCTCGACGGCAAGGACATTGCGAGCTTCCGCGAGCACATTCCCGATAATGTCGCCCTCGGCATCGAGGCGTGCCTCAACAAGTGCGGCCTCAAGAGGAATGCCAAGAGGGATGACTTCTTCCTCAACTAGAGTTAACTGGTGCCATCATGCTTCATGAGGATGTTTCTTTTCGGTCTTTGATACCACATTTAGAAGGGCGGGTGCATGGTCTGGCGTTTGATTTCTTTTGGCATGATCATGGTTTGGAGCAGTTCAGAATTTTGCATGCATCGGCGTAATAGAGAGTCCTGTTCTTTGTTGCTTGAAATTTGGTTTTTTTCTTCAATTCGCGGTTTGCCCTCCTGGGTGATTCATGCTTCTGATGGCCCCTATACGGCCTCCTAATCGACGCAATGTGAACCAACAGCTGTTTATGACGTAGCTACATTGACTCTGTCGGCCCCGAAGACACTGGCTCGTAGCTATGACCACGCGTGTGCTTCCCATGATTGCCGCTGATAGGATTGATGAAGACGGGTCTTCGCGCTAATCCTGGTCGAAATGTCACTTGTCGAGCAGATGAAGTGCTGGAAGAATCTCAGCAAGAGTTCAAGACGTACATACGGAGAGCACTGAGGTGTTTATGGCCGGTCCTCACATAGCACAGCCTGTGATGGATCAGCATGAGGGTAATCATAACGTCGTTATCGTCCCAGGTCAATTTCGCGTACAAATTTGTACATCTAGTTCTTCCTAATCCCGATTTATGGAACATCTTAGGATCCAAATTGGGGCGCGTTCAATGCCATGACCGTCAAAAGGCCCGACATGAGCCCGGCGCAAGGAAGAGTCAGCACCCAACCTCCAAAGATGAAAGCTAGTTGCCGCCAGTTTACAGCGCCCAAATCCAAGTTCATCAGTGCCACGCCAAGAACAGCACCTGTGAGGCACTGGGTAGTCGACACTGGAAGCCCAAGGCGACTCGCCAGCAGCACAGTAATGGCAGCACCAAGCTCCATTGCGTAGCCCCTTGTCGGCGACAGCTGTGTGATCTTGTTGCCGAGCGCCCTGATAATGTGATGGCCCATGAACCAAAAACCAGCGCCAAGGAGGAAACCGGCGACAACGAGGATCCAGACAGGAGTGTTGACGTCCTCGGTCACCAGGCCAGTACGGAAAACTTGGTAGGATGCCACCCAAGGGCCGACCGAGTTAGCCACATCATTGGACCCATGTGCGATGGACATCATGATTGCTGAAGCAACCTGGGCGTAGGTCCAAAGGTGTTCAACCCGGTTATCATATCGCTTCGCCTTGCCGTGAACGCTTGCGAGTTGGGCCGACGCGTGCGTAACACAATCGCGCGTTACCCCTTGGAGGAAGAAGTATTTGAGCAGCGACCACTGTCGTTGTGGGTGGTAGACTGGAAGGTGTGCCGTTGGCGCGAGGAAGCGCTCCTCCGGCTCAGGCTTGAGATGCTTGCGTCGAATGGGCAGGGTCCCATGGCGCTCAACATCCTCCAGAAACTGGCCATTGCCCGCAGGATTGGGTTGCACACCAGAGCTGCTGCCGGTGGCGGCCGGCTCGGTCGTAGGAGAGATTTGGCTGGGAATATCGTGTCGTCTTCTTCTTCTCAGTACTAGCGAGATCCGACGCAGA